GTGGAGTTCTCACCGGCAGCTTCCCTCCCTTCCAAAATGCTTTGACATTTAGTCATTCATGTACCACAGAATCAAATTCGTTTATTGTGTATAAAATCATAAATAACTTTAAATCAAGTTATATTAGGTCTATATCTTTTTTTTTCAAAAATAATGCCAGTACACAGTATCTATTTGAAAATAATTGATCGTGAAGACATCCGATCTTTTTCAAACGCTTGTTTTAATTATTTTTAGTAGAGTGTTATGCATGTTTTATTACCCCCCCCCCCCTTCCACAGAAAACTCTCTTCAAAAGATGAAAGATTCGTAATGAATCATGCTTTATAATAAATTTGATATTGTTAAGGCATGTTAATAAATTTTGTTTACAATATTTACATACAAGACTAATATTTATCTTTGGGAAAAAAAAATTGCATTTTTTCAATCAACAAAAATACCACTAAGCTTTCCGCCTTTGAAATTTTCCCTGACCAAATAAATCGATCGGCATGGACCACGTGTGTCCAAGTGCTCTGTAGTGACAATCTTTTACTGTTGAGTTAGCAATGGATTACATGATTTCTGAGATGCATATTTCAATAAAAGTAAAATAGGACATTTCTTTCGACATGTGCACATTCCTGTAACGATAGCAGTATTCAGGTAAATTAGTTTCGATCACTGTGTTCGATGCGTTTTCTCGACCTGCACGCATGCATATCCAAACGGTTCTTGCTGTACATAAACGTATTCCTTGTTAGTGTTGTTTTTCTATATTGCAGCTAATGCACTCAAAAATAATTTACTGTCAGTATAGTTCTAGTTTTTGTTGGATTTTTACAACATTTATTTGGTCAGTTTATTGATTTCTGAAGACTATGCTATCGGAGATGTGTACATGTCGGCAGCCAGGCTAGAAAATCACTCAAGTAAAACAAATGTACCAGGCTTTATATAGCAGGTACAGGTGGCCAAAAAATTTCGATTAAATATGGCGGAATCGACGAAATATGGCGGACAAAGGCGTACAGGAATGTAGTAAGTCGTACAAAGATGAACCAGAAGTCTCTGTCGAGACTGAAGCTCTACTGGTTTGAACTTATAGCAAAGGAAGAGAAAGCGCTTAAGCAGCTGGGATTTGAAACTTTATAAACAGCATTAAATAGAATAATGATCGTTGATAAAGTCTCTTTATGTTCTTAGTGTAGTCTACTTGTGTGCCAAGTTATACTGAAATCAGACCGAAACTGTAGGAGGAGTAGCATTTTGAAACAATTTTACAGACATTTCTATTTTTAGTAACCACTGAACACCGTTCATCAAAATTAAAATTCAATACACAGAATTATGTATCTTAGTGTATTCTACTTGTGTGCCAAGTAATACTGAAATCAGACAAAACTGTAGGAGGAGTAGCATTTTGAAACAATTTTACAGATATTTCTATTTTTAGTAACCACGACAAAACCATTCATCGAAATCAAAAACCGATAAACAGAATTATGTATCTTAGTGTATTCTACTTGTTTGCCAAGTTATACTGAAATCAGACCAAAACTGTAGGAGGAGTAGCATTTTGAAAGAATTTCACAGAAATTTCTATTTTTAGTAACCACGGCAACACCCTTCATCCAAATCAAAAACCGATGCACAGAATTATGTATCTTAGTGTAGTCTACTTGTGTGCCAAGTTATATTGAAATCAGACCAAAACTGTAGGAGGAGTAGCATTTTGAAACAATTTTACAGAAATTTCTATTTTTAGTAACCACGGCAACACCGTTCATCCAAATCGAAAACCGATACACAGAATTATGTAACTTAGTGTATTCTACTTTTGTGCCAAATTATACTGAAATCAGACCAAAACTGTAGGAGGAGTAGCATTTTGAAAGAATTTCACAGAAATTTCTATTTTTAGTAACCACGGCAACACTGTTCATCGAAATCAAAAACCGATACACAGAATTATGTATCTTAGTGTATTCTACTTGTTTGCCAACTTATACTGAAATCAGACCAAAACTGTAGGAGGAGTAGCATTTTGAAAGAATTTCACAGAAATTTCTATTTTTAGTAACCACGGCAACACCCTTCATCCAAATCAAAAACCGATGCACAGAATTATGTATCTTAGTGTAGTCTACTTGTGTGCCAAGTTATATTGAAATCAGACCAAAACTGTAGGAGGAGTAGCATTTTGAAACAATTTTACAGAAATTTCTATTTTTAGTAACCACGGCAACACCGTTCATCCAAATCAAAAACCGATACACAGAATTATGTAACTTAGTGTATTCTACTTTTGTGCCAAATTATACTGAAATCAGACCAAAACTGTAGGAGGAGTAGCATTTTGAAAGAATTTCACAGAAATTTCTATTTTTAGTAACCACGGCAACACTGTTCATCGAAATCAAAAACCGATACACAGAATTATGTATCTTAGTGTATTCTACTTGTTTGCCAACTTATACTGAAATCAGATCAAAACTGTAGGAGGAGTAGCATTTTGAAAGAATTTCACAGAAATTTCTATTTTTAGTAACCACGGCAACACCGTTCATCCAAATCAAAAACCGATATACAGAATTATGTATCTTAATGTGGTCTACTTGTGTGCCAAGTTATATTGAAATCAGACCAAAATTGTAGGAGGAGTAGCATTTTGAAAGAATTTCACAGAAATTTCTATTTTTAGTAACCACGGCAACACCGTTCATCGAAATCAAAAACCGATACACAGAATTATGTATCTTAGTGTAGTCTACTTGTGTGCCAAGTTATATTGAAATTAGACCAAAACTGTAGGAGGAGTAGCATTTTGAAAAATTGTTTACAGACAGACGGACAGACAGACAGACGGACAGACGGACGGACGCCGGACGCATTACTATCGCATAAGCTCTTCTGGTCTCTGACCAGTAGAGCTAAAAATGATGCCTTTTTAAAAGTTCATGTCAGCTTTAAGTAGTTCTCTATAGCGACGCAATTGTTGCAATAGCTCATTTGAGGTCAAGGATTTTTCCTCGCTTGAAACGAAATAAATATTTCAATTTGAAATCGGAGTTTTTCATATAAATTTTGTCGACAAAATGAACAGGGCAAGCTTGGGCATTAGCATAAAGAATAACTGTGTTTAAGGACGAATACTTCAACGTCATAATGGCTGCTTTTCCGGTGAAACTCTAGGTTCTTCCGGTGAAAACGGGAATTTTCCGTGTGGCGAATCAATTAGGAACCCAAAAATGGAACTCTTTTGTAAGAAAGATAATTTTAATGCAAGGCTCTGTTAAACGCTTAATGTGACGGTAATATCTATCGAGAATTAAGCGCTGAAATAACAAGTATGTAAATAACCGGTTAGAAACCGGCAAAATCGGACACAATAAATTACTGATCAGTGTAAAGGAGAGAAAATGAATACTTTGTCTTTGGTTGAAGTCATTGAACACGACAATTTCTATACGCATGACAATAATGAAGGTAGGATAATTATTTAACACGTTTTCAATATGTTCGTTGTCCAATATTTCATCTTAGTGATCACGACGCAAGCTTTCTGTCACCATTGTTATATTATTTCAATATACTGTCTTGTTGTTCAGACAAACTTGTCAATTCAACTTGACTTCTTTCATAGAACGGACAAGAAATGGGAATGGACAGTTTGAAGGAAAAATGAGAAATCCGTCCCCACATGAAGATGTAGGACACGACCATTCGTATTCAAATTTACCGACATCATCATTTACTTCAGGTATTGCAAAACATATTAAAATAAGCTGTTAAAGCCATCTGAATATCAAAGTCACAGTTATATTGCATGTGGGAATTATGTAATGAAATTAATATTTAAAATTTTAAGATTATTGTGAGATATGCATAGATGAGAACAAAGATGAAAACACAGATGAAAACATAGATGAGAATGATTCGTAGTCAGATAGAAAGTGTGACGATGAATACCCCTGTACATACAGTACACACCATTCAGTACAAAGGAGACATATTGTTGAACTTGATGTTTTGGCAGAAGGACTGGAGAAAGGGTATGTACATTTATGATTGAATTTAGTTTTATAATTTTAGAAAATTAAGTAATAATTAATACACGTAAAGCCAATCTAAAAAAGTCAACACATAATAATTATATAATTATTATTATTATTATTAAAGGTGTTCAAGCTGTGGAAAACCATTACAATTGACATCATACATTTGAGAAAGTGGATATGGCCCAGGTAAGGATATTTTTTTCATTGAATTTTAATATCATACCTGCATGTTATTTATAATATGTAACTCTTGACTTATACTGGGTTTTTTTGTGTGTACACATTTAAGTATTTTGTAATTCTTTATACTTGAATTTCAGGTAGTCTTCTTCACTTAAGATATCAGTAGTTGTAAGAAAATTAACTATGTTCCCACAGGAAAACGACATTCAAAAACATTTGGGATGTAAACTCAAAATTAGGTGCAGGTCAGTTGATAAATATTTTAATTTCTTTTTTTTTAATTGCAATTAGACTGATTGAAGCTTCTCTTTGAAACACAACAGTTCACTACAAACTGACTAATAATGCTTGTATATATAGTGCATTTGTGTAATATTTAAATTTATTAAAGCGGCAATATGGCTGCAAATCGTGTGCTTTTTCATTCAAATTTACCCAATATATCATTCAGGAATAAAGTTGAAGTAAGCATTTTGAGAAAAATAAATATTCTCTCCTCATACAAAATTAACGTAATTAGAATCTGCCGGAAAATCAAGGGTCGTACAACTTAGATCTGTTTACTTGTACCACGTGATTCTAAATTGGCACGTGTTACATGTACAATGTAGGGGTGACAATTATAATTGAATATTAGGTAAAAGCAATTCTCAGAATCAAAATATCTTAACTCTCCCGTAAATTAATAATAGTTAACATTTTAGTCTGCATTCAGACGAATTTAACAGGATTAAGTACAAATGTTGACGTTTTGTGTATTGGGGTGCAGGAAAGGAAAATCCACCAAATCATACGTCATCGCGGCAAAATGTCAAACAAAATATCTTTCTGCAGTTCCAATACAATTTGCACTTCAAATGGCAATAATTTTTATATGTCATAAGTGCATTTTTATGTTGAGTTTACACTGATTTTTTTCTTTGAAAGCCTTGGAGATTCGAGAAATGATAGCATGTATCAACAAACCTGTAGTGTAGAACCTTCGCGAGCCCCACGTGAACATCGCCGAGATCCCGTTTCCTCTTCATCCAATGATTATATTAATCTCCCAACTAAATTTTTGCCAGGAAAGTTGCTTTTTAATTTCAAGCCCTATTTTTGGTTTTGTTTTTTGTTTTGGTCGACTTTGTCAATGTAGCAGGCCTACCAGGCTTCCTTCTCTTACCATGCTGTTTTGTTATGAAAACTATACGCATGCGTGTGTAGCATGGAATGTGGAACCTCGAACACGTTGCGATGTATATATTTATGTAACATAAATGATTATTAATTTTAATGAAATAATCACAATTATTCACTAATGAAATCTGTAATTTTCTGAAAGTGTATACATTTATGAGTATGAAAAAAATTCCAAATCCTATAGGGAAATTTTAACAAGTCTGTTTTTGTAGAGATGCGCCATATTGTCACTTTAATAAACTTCAGCAATGATATTCTGTGGTATTGGTGAGAGTGTTGTCAACAATTTATTGGCTGCATTGAACCTCCCCAACATTTTCCCAACCACCCTAAAGAGAAGAGAACGAGAGGCAGGGTCTGCATTTGAAGCAGTTGCCACTGAGACGTGTAGTGATACAATTGCAGCTGAAAGTAGAAGGTAAAGAAAACTTATGTCAATAGTGTTTTGGTACAAAAGTAAGAACATATATAATTTTAGCATCATTTACGTTTATGACATGAAATTTATACTTTGTAATGCATCAAATTAAACTATAGATACATGCTTCGTTTGGGAGAAAGTTATGTTTGTTCATTTGCAGTTGTCAAAGTGAAGATGACCAGGCCGTATCCTTTGATGCTGGCTGGCAAACCAGAGGAAGTGGAAGGAACTATGCTAGTTTATCTGGTGTGTATTTAAAATACTTTTTTTTAGCAACTTTTACCACAATATTGATATTATGCATGTTTAACTGTATGTAAATGTAGTTATACATAGTGTTCTTAAATTTCAGGCCATGGAAATATGATGGGTGTACATACTGGAAAAGTCTTGAGTTATGCTGTGAGCTGTAAAAAGCGTCGATTTTGTGATAGGGCGGTGGATAAAGAGTATCCAAAAGAACATGATTGCAGAAAGAATTGGGAAAAATCCTCCAAAGCAATGGAGTCCGACATGGCAGTGGAAGTGCTGCATGAATTAAAATCAAAGGGATTCCATGTTAAAAAACTTATCATGGATAATGATGCTACTACTATTTCAAGGTTATAATTTTATGCTATAAAAATTGTACATTTCTTACTGAAATTAGAATTCCTGTAATCATGGTTTATTACTTGCTAATTAAAATAATTTTGTTATATATTTGTAGGGCTCAAGCATCTTTTGATTGGCATGTAAAAAATTTGAATATAAATAAAAGTAGATATGAGCCGTTCCGAGTAGCACCCCCAACTATTATTAACAAAATGATGAGAGCGGCTCCTCATGATCAAAGACAGCACTAAAGATTCTTACGAATGTGAGAAAATGAAAGTTACCTGTACTTTCTCAACATTTGAAAATCAGAATTTCTTCTTGACTGAAGATGATTTTTCTAAAATTTTTGTATATCTGTATTTTTTTCCTGCTCATAGACTCATACAATATTTTTGGCTCCAAAACTAGATTTATATACATAGTTTTAGAGGTTGTGATTGGCTTATGGAAAGTATTCTTTTATGATCTCGAACAACTCCGTGTTTTGGGATTTCTAGATCAAAGTTCATTCAACTCGTCAACTTTTGATGGTAGACTGAGTTTTTCCAAGACTTGGAAAGCCTTTAAACAAGACATATAAATTGTATACCTTGATATATTTTTAGGATACTGTTAATTGTTGGTGTTAATGTTAGTAATATTTAATTACTTTGAATGTTTGATTTTTCTCAAGTTTAAATTGTTTAAGGGGGATGTCCGGCCACCTTTAGTGCAGTGAGAACAAAATGTAAATATTTCTTCAAATGGCTAAAATACATTATATTTTGATCAAATTTTAAGTCCTTATGATAAAGATACAATAAATATGCATAACTAAAAGCATGTTGTGCATATGTAATCTATACTTTTGCAGAAAAATGCTTTTGATATGCTCCTTAGAACTGCGCAGCTACAGAATTCAGCAGAGCCTTAAAAAATCCAAAAATATATGCAAACTGTGCATTAATGTTCTCTCTACAACCATTTGTTGAAAAAAATGTCTAAGTTTTGCACTTTTAAATCATAATTTCAAGTTCAAAACAAGGTACCGTTGTCTTCAAAATGAGTGTAAAGAACCATGAAAGTAGTTCATGGATAGCAGCAAGTGGTCTATTTTTAGCAAAGTATTTTGTTTTCCAGACCTTCTTAATATAGAGGGACATAACAATCTTTAAATGTAGGAGAGAATTACAGTTGCAAAATATTTCAAATAATATGAACACTTTTAAAAGTGGAAATGTGTTATAATGTGGCTTGAAATAATTTACTTAATATTATTACAGTTAAATAGTTTACGTATTGATATAAAAAATTCTTAAACTCTTTGATTCCAGGAAAGGAAAAATGAGCATCATATCAAAGTTGAAAAATTAAGAGTTTGTAAGTCTGCCACAGATAACATATTATCTATCAAAATTTTAATCATCACCAATGAAACGCAAAGAAAATTAGACACATGAAATCGATATTAATGACCTTGTTTTAGTACCTACTAGTACGAGAGGTGATCAAAAAATTCGTGAACTATCAGAAACAAATTTGGTAAACACATGGCCATTCACAAGTTCTATAAATAGCATATGCTGAATAAAGTTTTGCTCCTTGTTTGTGACGTCACTGTGAAAATGACGTCACTATGCAGGTCACTAGTGACGAAAAATGGTTGTCGCAGTGGAACTCGTTCAACGAACGACTGTAATATTTATGGTATGTCTTAGAAATACCTTTGAAGTAGCAAATACCTAAGACATAGTTTACTTTGTGATCACCCCTCGTATATTGTGTCAAATAAACATTTACAATTTTCATTACAGCGCAGCAACATTTGAAAAGGAATGAAATCATTCAGAGTGGGTTAGGAGATTTACTGAATAAAAAAAACTTTTTTTCTATTTGCCCATGTTGTCAAAATTACAATTTTACAGATTAAAGAAAAAAAAATCAAATTTAATAAAATATTTTAGACCATCTTTAAAATGACGTTCGGTAGTCCTCCCAACTCAGCGAAAAATTATTGGGTCCGTATTTATAGGTGAGAAAAAAAAATTCCTTAAAGTTTAAACATATTTGTTGACGGAAGAAAAAGAAAAAAATATCGTGTAATGGGATGTTAAAAAAATTGAGTCGGACCTAGGTAGTAGGTCGGGAGAGAGGGCAACCAAATATTTTTATAACAAGTGGTCTTATAAGTCTAGTACATGTTCCATCACTTACTTAGTAATGCAAAAATTTTTAAGCTTTGGCACTATTTTGAAAAACAAATATAGGATTTTCGTGGGGGTGGGGGGGGGGTGGGGTGTTGTTAGCCTATCACTCTTTTTTTGCGAAGGTAGACATAGCATATGCAATGGACCTTTCTTTGCAAACATTGTGCTCGCTTCTAAATTTCAAAGAAACAACTCAATATATACTCTTCAAAAAAAGAAACGCATAGTAGGAACAATGTCCTGAAAAATGTATGATAGTTTTGTAATACCTTTTATTTTTGTATGGATACGATGTATTCGAGTGAATTGCATGATTTTTAAATGCAATTGTTAACTTTTCAGCTATTCTACAAGTCTCACAGACAAAAAGACCTGATTTTGCAAAATTTTCCCCAAAATTTTTATCTCAATTTTCAATTGTTGAATTCCGATGCAATTTCTTCAGGTACAAAGGGGCTATCAAAAGCGGGGGTTCTCGATATTTTGAATCTGGTTTTATCTGAAAAATGACGCTTCCAAAAAATGCTGCATCTGAATGTTGCGTAGCAAAAAAAAAGGAAAATGGGCGACGTTAAGCAGGGGTACCGCAATCTACAATTGTAAGAGGTTTTAATGTTACACACAGACCATATCTAACGTATTAAACATAAATCATTAACATCGAACACCCAATGCTCGCAAAAAATATGGTAGACTACGTGTGACATCAGCAACTCAGCATCACTTCCGAGGATTACTTAAATTGCATGAATGTAATGCAAGGTCGTCATCTAAAGCATTAGCTATCCCTGAACTGCACAGATCATCTAACAACACTGTTTTCAGTTGACTTCGAATTATTGCAAGAGGATTATTCATGCCATTGTTCCGACCCCACAACACCCCAAATATCGACTTCAAAGATCTCAGATCAATAGAGTATGACCTAGACATCACTGCTGAACATTTTTGTTAACTTACTAGTCCTGAATGTTTATCTGAAAGCCTCTTATAAGTTTAAGAGTGCTAATGCTTTGTAATGAATGTTAGACAGATAACTGCCTCCAGGACGATAAAAAAGTTGGTGGTGGTAGTGTAATGATATGGAAAACGGTATTATAAGAAAGTAAGATTGATTTGATTCGAATTCAATGGACTTTGATGGAAAACGGTACTCTAACCATGTTCTACCTACACATACCCATTCAAGTTTGCAGCACCCTAGAGCCGTATTGCAATCTCATAATACACAGCCACATATGGCTAGTTTGACACACCTATTCTTGAAAAGAAGCAACAACCTGTTTCAGCCACAGTCATCTAAATTGCTAGATTTAATCCAAATTAAGCAGCATTGAACAAAATGGATTGACATGATTTGCCAAAGACAATCACATCCCCAGACTCTGCAACAGCTGACCAAAGTTCTACATTTGGAGTGGGAGAGTATTCCTATACAGTTTTTATTATGCATATTTGCTTCCATTAGATGCCGTTTGTGGCTATCATTTGTGTCTGCGGGGGGCATACCAGATATTGATCTTTAATGGTCTTAAACTGACTATAAATTTAAAATTGTTGAGTAATTCTGACATTTAGAGAGTATTCCTGTTGCTTACTACATTTCTGTTTTATCAATGCATCATTTTACTAAATAATCTTTATGTTCAATGGGTCATAAAATTCTACTATGCGTTTCTTTTTTTGAAGAGTATATTTTATCAAACTTCGTATGTTAATATTAGTGAGAGCTTACAACGTTGTCAACATGAGACATGATGTGTTTTTATGTCCAAACATTACTCCATACAATGTTATGTGAGGTACCTAAAGGAAATCCTATAACTCCTATTTTTTCTATCTAACTGCTAAACAAAATAGACATATGTGCCAATTTTTCGAATGTAATACATATAATTAC